TCTCTACCTGACACATTATGGATTAAACACACCCCTTATGGAACATTTATTTTATTTTTTATCAATTTTCTTTAACTTTTTTTTGTAAATTTCCTTCATACATACACACTATTAAATATTTTTAATTAATAATACTGCCTTTTCCGAATATTTGGGGATGAAACTTTAATTTTTTTATCCAATAGTTTATCATTTTTAATTTATACGAGAAAATTTGAGAGAAATTTTTATTTTTATATATTAAAAATATTACTGTATATATATATATATATATATATATATATATACACACACACAAAAACTACATAGTAAGTAAAAAAAAAACTTTTGTTTTTCCGAACAAGTCTCGGATTTTTCCGCACTTAAATTGTTAACAAACAAATTTAAATTATTTATTTTATTTTTTTTTTTTTTTCAAAAAAAGAAAAAAAACTATTTTCTACAATATAATTTTTTAAAAACATAGAATTATATATTTTTTATTTAAAAAAAATAAATAATAACTACTATTAATAATAATAATAATAACAACAATAATAAAATGAGAAGAAAACCAGGACAAAACAGAACAAAAGTCACTACTGCTTGTTTAAATTGTCAAAAACGAAAGATTAAGTGTTCTGGCACACCACCTTGTGGTTACTGCCTGAAGCTCGACAAACCATGTGTTCCTGGTAATCCTGGAAAAAAGCGTGGCCCACCACCTGGACACGAAGTTAGAAGAATGGTTTCTTATAGACCAAACGATTCTTCGGGTAATGCATATAAATGACCTCAAAATCTTAAACATGTTCTTTACATAATACATATATTACATTATTATTACATTATTATTACATTGCTTATACACAATATTATGCTATATATTTATTACATTATTTATAATATTTTATACATTATATTTTAATTATTTTTATTTTATAATTTTAATTTTTAATAATAATGTAGAAAATAATTTGAATGTTATACGGCCAAATGCTATATATCCTGGAGATGGTGAATTATTAAGAACGATTCAAGGTTCTAATCCTGCCGGAATCTATTATAATGAACTAGCTCCAATTTTGCCGCTACCAATCGACTGTAATTCAACAAGATGGTCAACATTTCCAACGTCTTTCTACAATGAACCATCGTCGTCATTATTATCATCACCACAACCTACTAATACTACTAATGCCACTAATACTTCAACTAATTTACGTGCTATCGATCAATATTCACCAACGTTAGGACAAAGAAGACCTTCTTCTTCTTTATGGACATGTTTGCGAACAAATGACCAAGCTAATAACATTACGGTAAATTTATTTATTCATTCATTCATTCAAATATATTAAATAATGAATAATGATGATGATGACGACAACGATGATGATAACGATAATGATATTAATGATAAATTGATACTAAATTCATAGGCTTCGAGTAATTATGCTGGTACCAGCAATCATTCAAATGGGATATCAACAGCACAATCTAAAAAAAAATATAAAAAAAAAATTACTAAAAAACCTACTATCAAAAAACCAACTATCAAGAAACCAACTATCAAGAAACCTACTACTAAGAAACCTATTACTAAGAAACCCACTACTACTACTACAAAAAAATCCATCATGTCAAAGAAATCATCTAAAAAAGAATTTAATAATGGTGTATCTTGTAATAAATCAGATTCTCATAATGAGTGTGGTATTAATAAAGTTCCTGCTAATAATAATAATAATAATAATTCTAATAATAATTCACAATCGACTATTATAAAACCAGCATTAAAATTTCGATCTTCTCCTGCCATCACACCTTCACTATACTTTGCCGTTACTCAACAACAAGGTTGGGAAACTGGTGGTCTTCGATCTGAACAACCTTCAAGAAACACTCATCCAGACATGGAGGATGCTTACTATGTCCCATACATGGCAAATGAAAAAGTTCATTATCCCTCAGATACTCCTTATACTTTATTTGTATTAGCTGATGGTCATGGTGGATCAAGCGCATCGAGACATTTTTGTAGAATGGTGCCTGAGGCTATTCAAGATGTTTTGTGTTCTCAAGCTTCTTGGTCATTCAGAGAACCTAGTGGTCAACAACTATTTAGAGAAAAGGTGAAGGAAATGTACAAAAGACTCGATAATGAATATTTGAGTTCTCAGAAAAAAAAGTTTTCAGAATGGTTAAGTAATGGTTGTAAGGATCCTATGCCATCTGATCAAGGTTCAACATTGGTTATTGTTATCTTGTATGATGGTGTGGTGATAAATTGTAATCTTGGTGACTCAATGGCCCTTATATGTAAAACTTTACCCTTAACAACTACTGGTAGAATACCTCTTGAAATTGTCTATCAGTCCACTATTCATTCTCCTGGCCATCCGCATAAAGCATATCATATTGCTGAGCAAAAGCTTGCTTTTAATTGTAGGTGATAAAAATAATAATCGTCGAGACGATTAAGTTTTTAAATGCTAATAATAAATAAACTTTAATCAAATAATATATATATTTTTTTTTTGTTTTGTACAAAAATTGATATTATTAATTGACTAAAAAAAATTAAGATAAATTTGCTTGTTTATATAAATTACACATTAATAATTAATGATTATTATTACTAATTATAAATATATTTTTAATATTAAAAAGAAATTTAATTTATAATTCTTCTTCTAATCCAACGTTTATTGTTATTATTGTTATTGTTTTTATTGCTATTATTTTTATTTTGTAATATAGATTTTTTAAGTCTTAAGGTGTTTATTGGTCTCATTTTCTTGTAGATTCTTTGTTCCCCTTCTTCATCTTCCATATCATCATCTTCACTTTTAACAACCAGCCTCTTTCTTTTATTATTTAAACCACCATTGTTTGTTTTACTATTATTATTATTATCACTATCAATACTACTATCATCATCTTCATCTTCATCATCATCTTCTTCTTCTTCTTCTTCTTCTTCTTCTTCTTCTTCTTCTTCTTCTTCTTCTTTTTTCTCGGCTATTTCATCTAATCTCGCTCTTCTATTATTATTTACTCTAATATTTATATTATTATTATTACAATTATTGTCATTATCTTCACTATCTTCAACGTCATTGCTGTCAGAATTACTATTGTTAAAATCATCATTACGATTACCATTTATAACACCTTTTTGATTACCATTACGACGATTTCTATTATTAGCAAACAATTTATTTGGCAGCTCTCTTTCATCATCATCATCTTTACTACCAGTACCACAACTGTTACCAAAATCATTATTACGATCACCATCACCATCACCATTTTTGCTTTTGTTTCTGCTATCATCAAACAAGTTATTTAGTAACTTGCTGTCAACAACATTGACATTCTCATCATTTTTGGTAGTGGTGGCATCACTGTAGGTTACAGAATCGTTGGCATTAAATGAATGTTTTTTTAGTTTTTGTATCTCTTGTAATTTCATTTCAAGTATTCTTGCAAACTCTGGATTATAATCCTTTTGTGATTTTTCTCCGTCTTCTACTTTTCCCTTATCTGCTTCACTTTCCGGTTCGTTTTCTTGTGATTGATGATGATGATGATTGACACAATTACTATTATTATTACTGTTATCACTGTTATTATCATCATTATCATCACTTTTATATTGAACTTGATCTTGCGGTATTGGAATCTCTAAAATAGGAGCAGGAACAGAAGATAGAGATAGAGGTGAGGATGAAGTCTCGACGTTTGTTACTAGTTGTGGTTGTGGTGTAGTATCCGCATTTATTTGAGGAGATGGTAAATGATTATTGTCGCCTGATTCATTATCATCATTATTAATATTATCATCGTCTGATTCATCATTATCATTACGATTATTATCGTCGTTATTATCGTATAACTCGCCTTCATCATTATAAGTACTATTACTATTATTATCAACTAACTCATCAGATTTATCATTATTATTGTTGTCACCTAACTCGTCATTATCGTCGTCGTCATCATTATTATTTATCAACATAGATATACTAATTGATCTTCTTTCAATAGTGGCTGTTGAGTTTGATGATTGTTCAACCGGTATTGAAGAAGAACATTGTGGCACTGATGATAATGACGGATGTTGAGGTATTATCGGTGATGGTTGTTGTAATGGTATGGATGTTGAAGATGAAGATTGATAATGCGGATATAATGATTGTGAATGTGAATGTGGTTGCTGATATGAAGATGATGATGATGAATATGATTGTGTATGTGAATTATGTGGAGATCTAGAGTCATATGAAGAGGATGATATATGTGGCATCGTAGAGTCATGATGTGGTTGATAAAATGTAGAATCGTAATTTGGTTGATATGAAGACCTGGATTCAGAATTTGAAGAAGATAATGGATATGAATATGTAGAGCCATAATGTGGTTGGAACGGAAAAGAATTTGACGATATGTTATCGTGTGAAATAGATTGTGCTGTTGATATCCCATTTGAATGATTGCTGGTACCAGCATAATTACTCGAAGCCTATGAATTTAGTATCAATTTATCATTAATATCATTATCGTTATCATCATCGTTGTCGTCATCATCATCATTATTCATTATTTAATATATTTGAATGAATGAATGAATAAATAAATTTACCGTAATGTTATTAGCTTGGTCATTTGTTCGCAAACATGTCCATAAAGAAGAAGAAGGTCTTCTTTGTCCTAACGTTGGTGAATATTGATCGATAGCACGTAAATTAGTTGAAGTATTAGTGGCATTAGTAGTATTAGTAGGTTGTGGTGATGATAATAATGACGACGATGGTTCATTGTAGAAAGACGTTGGAAATGTTGACCATCTTGTTGAATTACAGTCGATTGGTAGCGGCAAAATTGGAGCTAGTTCATTATAATAGATTCCGGCAGGATTAGAACCTTGAATCGTTCTTAATAATTCACCATCTCCAGGATATATAGCATTTGGCCGTATAACATTCAAATTATTTTCTACATTATTATTAAAAATTAAAATTATAAAATAAAAATAATTAAAATATAATGTATAAAATATTATAAATAATGTAATAAATATATAGCATAATATTGTGTATAAGCAATGTAATAATAATGTAATAATAATGTAATATATGTATTATGTAAAGAACATGTTTAAGATTTTGAGGTCATTTATATGCATTACCCGAAGAATCGTTTGGTCTATAAGAAACCATTCTTCTAACTTCGTGTCCAGGTGGTGGGCCACGCTTTTTTCCAGGATTACCAGGAACACATGGTTTGTCGAGCTTCAGGCAGTAACCACAAGGTGGTGTGCCAGAACACTTAATCTTTCGTTTTTGACAATTTAAACAAGCAGTAGTGACTTTTGTTCTGTTTTGTCCTGGTTTTCTTCTCATTTTATTATTGTTGTTATTATTATTATTATTAATAGTAGTTATTATTTATTTTTTTTAAATAAAAAATATATAATTCTATGTTTTTAAAAAATTATATTGTAGAAAATAGTTTTTTTTCTTTTTTTGAAAAAAAAAAAAAAATAAAATAAATAATTTAAATTTGTTTGTTAACAATTTAAGTGCGGAAAAATCCGAGACTTGTTCGGAAAAACAAAAGTTTTTTTTTTACTTACTATGTAGTTTTTGTGTGTGTGTATATATATATATATATATATATATATATATACAGTAATATTTTTAATATATAAAAATAAAAATTTCTCTCAAATTTTCTCGTATAAATTAAAAATGATAAACTATTGGATAAAAAAATTAAAGTTTCATCCCCAAATATTCGGAAAAGGCAGTATTATTAATTAAAAATATTTAATAGTGTGTATGTATGAAGGAAATTTACAAAAAAAAGTTAAAGAAAATTGATAAAAAATAAAATAAATTTTCCATAAGGGTTCTTTTAATCCATAATATGTAATGTAAAGAAGATCCACAAATTTTTGAAAATCTAATTTTTTTTAATTTTTGAATTTGTATCACGTAAATTTACCCACCTGCCATAATGTTACACACATTATTATGTAAACAAGTTATTTTTTATGAAAAATTTTTGATTGCTATAAATATAATATTTGCAACAACAACTATTTTTTTTTAGAAAAATCTTTTCTAAAAAAATATAAAATAAAAATGCCTAAAGATACCACCCTCACTGAAAGGTCATTTACAACAACAAGACGATCAAGCAGGTTGGAACAAAAAAGGGAAAAGAAAAGAAAAGAAGAGGAGGAGGAAGAAAATGAGTTCATACATCCGAGTGAAGAGAAGTCAGAAGACGACATTGAAATTATTCATAATAATCGGTTTGTTTTAAAAACAATAAATATTTAAATTTTTATCTAATTTATTGTTATTGTCAAATCAGTTATTTAATTTATACAATTCAAAAAATTATATATATATATATATATTAACATTTGTTAAAATTGATAAAATCGATTTGAATTTTATTATTTTTATTATTTTTTTTTCAAGGACTATTTTAGTTAAAAAAGTAAAAAATATGGTTAACAATAATAAAAATACAAAAGCTAATACAAAGTCAACCAAAAATACCACAGCTTCAATAAAAAAATCATCGTCATCAAATATAGTAGATGTCAAATGGAAGCAATTAATACAGGATACAAATATGACATCATCATCATCATCATCAGATTATGATGATGATGACGACGACGATGATGACAACGATGATGATGATACTGATTCATCATTTGATATAACAGCAAAATCTAAAAAAAAATATAAAAAAAAAATTACTAAAAAACCTACTATCAAAAAACCAACTATCAAGAAACCAACTATCAAGAAACCTACTACTAAGAAACCTATTACTAAGAAACCCACTACTACTACTACAAAAAAATCCATCATGTCAAAGAAATCATCTAAAAAAGAATTTAATAATGGTGTATCTTGTAATAAATCAGATTCTCATAATGAGTGTGGTATTAATAAAGTTCCTGCTAATAATAATAATAATAATAATTCTAATAATAATTCACAATCGACTATTATAAAACCAGCATTAAAATTTCGATCTTCTCCTGCCATCACACCTTCACTATACTTTGCCGTTACTCAACAACAAGGTTGGGAAACTGGTGGTCTTCGATCTGAACAACCTTCAAGAAACACTCATCCAGACATGGAGGATGCTTACTATGTCCCATACATGGCAAATGAAAAAGTTCATTATCCCTCAGATACTCCTTATACTTTATTTGTATTAGCTGATGGTCATGGTGGATCAAGCGCATCGAGACATTTTTGTAGAATGGTGCCTGAGGCTATTCAAGATGTTTTGTGTTCTCAAGCTTCTTGGTCATTCAGAGAACCTAGTGGTCAACAACTATTTAGAGAAAAGGTGAAGGAAATGTACAAAAGACTCGATAATGAATATTTGAGTTCTCAGAAAAAAAAGTTTTCAGAATGGTTAAGTAATGGTTGTAAGGATCCTATGCCATCTGATCAAGGTTCAACATTGGTTATTGTTATCTTGTATGATGGTGTGGTGATAAATTGTAATCTTGGTGACTCAATGGCCCTTATATGTAAAACTTTACCCTTAACAACTACTGGTAGAATACCTCTTGAAATTGTCTATCAGTCCACTATTCATTCTCCTGGCCATCCGCATAAAGCATATCATATTGCTAGTAATGGTGGAATATTTAAACGCGAAGATAATGAAAAGTTGATCAAAGCCACTGTCAACAAACCACCACCAATCAACGATGATTTAGCAAACTTGGACGACAACAACAACAACAACAACAACAACAACAACAACAACAACAACAACAATGTACATTATACACATAACGTAAAACATGTACCAGGTCTTTTGAAAGCTCGTATATATCGACCTGAAGAATTTCAGAATCCATACGGTATGCAATCTGATTTATCACTTAATCTAGGTGATACAATGGGTGATCTGTATTTCAAACTTGACCCACCATTATTTCCATGTGATGCTGATGTTGATTATATAGTTATGGAGTCAGGTACTAATTATATTGGAATATTGGCACCGGATGGATTATGGGATCATTTGAAAGTTAGTATGAGAGAATTTATTAGGAAGTTGGCAAAATATATCAATTATTTAATAGCAAGTGAAGATCCAAATTTTTTTACAAAGGTAAACTTACCTGGAGAAGGAGGAATAGGAGGAGATGAGTCATCAAACAAATTATCAGAAACTGAATCAGTACAACAACAACCATTTTTTTATAAACTAGGATCTTCAAGGAGTCATAATATTTTAACTGGTGAACAATTATATGATCTTGCAAGAGCTTTATGTGATAGAACCAAGGATAGTTTGGATATTTTTGAAAAGGATCAAGGTCGTTACGATGATTGTACTGTTATTGCATTTTCTTATAGTTTTTAATTTTATTATGATTATTCAAATAAAAATAATATAATTAAATAATATATAGTATATAATAGCTAACATAGTAGCAAATTGCAAAAAAAGATGATGATGATGATGATGATGATGATGATGATGATGATGATGATGATGATGATGATGATGATGATGATGATGATGATAATGATAATGATGATGATGATGATGATGATGATGACGATAGTAATAATAGTTTGTTAATTATCAGTGAATGAATGTGTGATTTGATTATTATTTTGTATTTAGCTAGGACTGGAGATAAATAATATATATATTTTTTAAGTTAAACTTTACAAAAATCATTTAATCTTGAGTTGAATAATAATAATAATATTATTATTATTATTAATGATATTTTGTTAGGTAATGAAAAATATTTATTTTATTGTACATAATAAACATCAATAAAAATTAAAAATAATAATGATAAAAATAAATAATAATGCAAGATAGTAAATAAATAAATGAATTAATTATTAATAATAACTTTGTTTATTTTACAATTTTACTTCTCCTTTTCCTTCAACTACTTCAGTTTCTTTCTTGCTATTGCTACTATTGCTACTACTACTATTGACAATAGGTTGATTACTACTATAATTCATACGATGCCAAACATAATCTTGAGCAATTGTTTGTACTGCTAGTTTTATTGATGCAACCATTTTATCTTCTACCCATTCATTTTCTTCATATTTTACATCTAACCAACTAATTGGTAATGCTTGTGAATAAGTTTCGAAGGTCAGATTGTGAGTTGGATCTGTTAATACTATTACAAAGAACAGAAAATTTTCTGAAACATTATCTGTTGATGGTGTGGATGATGATAAAGTTGGTATAACGTATGGATTAGCTTTTGTTGGTTGTATTGACATAAATACTGGGCATATAATTGATGGCGTCTCTCTTTGTTGTGATTCCTTTGTCTTTAATCTTTCTTTTTCTAATGAAATGGGATCATAATGTTTCTTGATTGTTTGTTCAATATTTGCCTATTGAATTATGAAAAAAATAAGCAATAAGCTATAAACAATGAACATGATCATGATACAATGATAATGATAGTGATGATGATGACGACGACGATGATGATGATAAATAATATACCTTTGCAAGTTTTATAGCTTCAACAAATCCTTCACAAACATTTAAATCTCTATATAATTCATCTGTTATATTAACTTTCTTTGTTTCATTATTATTACCTTTCTTAACAATAATATCTCCTCCTTCAACTTGTTCCATTACCTTTATAAATCCACGATAAACGATTGATTCCAATCCAATATATCCAATCATATCATGTGCCAACCAAACTTCTACAATTTCATATTGTGAAATTGGTGGAACTACCGCATTAACAACTGTTGTAAGTGTATTTAAACTTAATGACTTAAGATCTGAACCTTTTAAATTTTTACAAATAACCAAAAAAAAATTTTTAAGTAATTAAATAATTAAATAATTTAAATTGGTTCAAAAAAAAAAAAAGATATAAAATAATAACCTATTTTTTCAATTGCTTCCTTATTCACATATTCACGTACTTTTTCTTCCAACTTTTTAGTTGCTTCGTTTGCTCGTACTGTTTCGACTGTTGCCAATGCTCCTTTAACAGACGAATCAACAACGGTGCTGGCTGTTTTATAGGCTGTTGAAGCAGATGCCAATATATTTCCCCAACTCCAAGCTCCACTATTATTATCATCACTGCCACTGGCTTCATCTTTTTGTAGCTTCTGTTCAGAACCTTGTTTAACGCTTGTATTCTCAATTTTTGTTGAGACATTATTATTATTGTTATTATTATTAAGAGTAGAGGTGGCGTTGGTGCTGTCAGATTTATTAGTAACAGTAGTCGAAGTTTGTACTATTTGATCAACATAATCAAGAACAGATTGAACATCATCCTCAGTTCTAGTTTCAATCGTTGACGGATTTGTAGAATAGGTATCAAGATCTTCAAGAAATTGTAGTACGTCTTCTTGAGAATTAGTTGATGATTTTTTTTCTGTCATATTTATTTAAGAAGAATGTAATGATTTGAGGCGTGTACTGCAACAAATCCAAAGTTTGTACTACTACCAAGTATTTTCAGGGTCAAAATTGTTTAATATTAATATTAATATTATCCGTGTTAACCGATCATTGAATCCTACCTCGGTTACACGAATCCCAACATGATTGGTAGAAAATAAGGAAATCTTATATATCTTAAAAAACCTTGTCGTGTAACCGATGTAGGTGTGGTAAGAATAGGGCCGATCATTAATATTTTCACGTTACACCGTTCAATTATACAAATTTAAAATCAGTGATTTTTTAAGCGGTCCCTACATATAAAGGTAAAATACAATTGTAATTTTAGAATCAATCAACCTAAATAATATAATAATAAATTGGTTTTTCCCTTCTGGTGTGTTAATGATAGGGATTTTCTGTTTTAGATAGTAGGCTGTTTTCTTTTAACTGCTTTTTAAACCTTTCTTATCTTCAATACTCTGATCAAGTGTCATGAGCAAGGATTAAGTCAGCATATATGGGATAACTCATTTTTCCTCATCCTCTTTTACTTTAGGCAACAGGATACACAGTAATAAATACTTGGACTTGACTGGTCTTTTATCATCTAGATGAATAAACTTTATTTTTCTTGGTGGTGATTGTTCTGGTCTTTCTTCTCATCCTGTTTCTTTGTCTTGTCTTATAGAATATCTTTGTCAGTTAAAATTTCCTTTGTTTTGGTGATTGGTGATTCTTTAGCAGTAGTGTTAGGGTCTCTCCATGAATTTATTTTACCTCATGGAAGGCATGCATGACCTTGAATGTAAACTGCTAGTTTGGAGAAATGCTAACCCTTCTTTTTCTACCAGGTGTCTTTTTTAATGAGTTAAATGTGTTATCTTTTCCGCAACAACTAATTTAAGGTTTGCCACGAGTATTTTTTCTGTAAGTGTTGATCTTTTTTTGATGGCTAGCTTTAAATCATTTTCGATATCTGCAGTTGCTTGAATGTAACTTGCTCTTCCAATAGATCAGCTCCATAATAGCAAAATTCTTTTTTATTAGAAACGACACCCAACCAAAACTTCATCTGGACAAACTACATACTCATTTGACATGTTTTGTGGAGAATCTCTTGTCCATTTCTTTTGTAATTAAGACAAGTCGCTGTATATTTATTTCCCTTTAGAAATTCTTTCTCCGTGCTCAAAATGTTTCCAGGCATCGACACTTGTCACACTTGTCGAAAGTTTGGCCATTTATTCGAACAAAATTTCGCCAAATCGAATTTTAGTTACGCCCAAAAGTATAATTTTTCACAAACAGAATAATCATCTAAAGATAATAATAACAATAAAGATAATTTAATAAAGTACTCGGCAAATTGATTTACACGCTCCTTCCTGATGCCAATATGACTCACATGATCTCAGAGTGCTGCGAATAATAATAAGCATTCAACAGATCTGTACTACGACACGAAAAAATTATCTTTTATATATATACTCGAATCACAGAATTATTCTATTATATACGGTAAGCTTAACTAATAGTTACTCGGTTTTATTGTAGTTTCGCAGCCAGTGCTGTAATAATTCCTTTGGGAGCCAGGCTTTCCCAAGGTTCTTTCGGTGAAGTAACCTGCAGATTCTGATTTTTCTGGTCAGTATTTGAAAACACAGAAACATGTAAAACCTCGTGTAGATGATCTTATTTAATGATTTCAGCAATCTTACTTTCCCTTATCTTTTCTTTTTCGTTTGAACAAGACGTCTATATGTAAAGATCGTGGTACTTATCCTTTTTATCACTCTTGGATTAGTTAAAATTTTAAAAATGGCAAAACTTCTAATACTTTATCATTCTGTGTAGAGTTGTGTAGAAGTACTAGAAATGTTTATGGAATGATTATAAATTAGTAAAATTTTTCAAGCAACTGGAATATTGCTAATATCAGTAGGATCAAGCTGAGTTGTATTTAAAAAAGCGCACCAAACACAATCTCATCAGGAAATAATGAATTATGGACCAAGGCTAAATCTTTGTTTGAAAGAATTACAGTGGACATATTAATATTTAATTTAAGTGCTGGCTGATTGGTTTAAAGGTATTCTTTCAATTATTAGAATTAGTAATTCCATGTTTGCCGTATCATTTTCTTATTTGCCTCAAACAAATTTACAAATAAACAATAGTACTAAAAACATCCTTATTCTTTCCACTTTTTTCAATATGTATTTGTCAATTTCTGACGTGTCTGATAGTGAAGACATGGAAACCATTTCTGTTAATCCATTTAATAGAACAAACTCTACGAATTAGTACTAATGGTAATTTGAAAAGGTTTTATATTCCCGCAGACCAATGATTGGATAATATAATTTTATACTCAAAGGTGGTAAATACACGAATTATATATAGTATTTACTGTGTATGATATGTAAAAATCACATTTAGTTAAATTGTACATAGCAAAACATGTGATTACACAGTAAATCAAATATGAAAAAAGCAGAGCAACTTTTCATTATAGTAGACAGTCGATAAATGGTAAGTCAACATATTGATATGTTGTTTTATGTAGTATCTTCCACTTTTAGGGGAGAAATCCAGTCATTGGCATCAAATAATGCTCGTAATAAACCAAAAGGCAAGAGTACGTCGAAAAGAGACATGAAAGAAACGTTGGTACACACAGCATGTAAATTGGAGAGGCCTTGTATGGGGAGGGAAATACCTGGTGGTTAGGGTCTTTTGATCCATCTATAGCAACTAGAAAGAAAAAATTTCTGGGCAAGTTTAAATTATTACTATCTATAATGATCGGGCGGGACTCTGTAAACAAAGCTCTAAAATAATGGAATCACATTAGCAATGAAAAGAGAAAATCTTAAGTTTCACACAAGCTGGTGTGTTATCTCGTTGAAGCTCACATATGCGTTCTTATTTCTAAGAAATTGCAATTCTTTTTCCACACAGAATTCAATGCTATTTCCTGGTATGGTGAAGATATTTATTTATGTTTTTGGAAAATCGATCACTGTTCAATTCCATCTGAAGAGAATGATGATAGCTGCTTATTTGAAGACATATTTTGTGTTTCAAAAGAACTTGAGGCATGTCGCCACTTTTATTCTATCATTATATTACATATGGATTATGATTTACTAATTTTATTTTCTACAACAGAAAGAATTACAAAAAATTTTCATGGTGAAAATACAAAAAACAAAAAGAAGAAAGAAGTTCCTCCCACCAAAATGAGATAGATTTAACACAAACTATATGATTTTTGATTTTTCTAACAAAATACCAAATACTGATTATATAAATTCAAAAAAAAAAACTTTTTGATATTTTCTCTCTGATGTTTTTTGGGTACCATCAATTTATTATATATTTTCCAACAATCGTTAAATATAGACCTTTTTTGGGGTCTAGCTTCTGATCCTAATATTTGATTTGGTTCTTTATAAATGAACATTATAAAAATATTCACTTTGTTATTCACTTGTCTGGTTTTTTTATTGCAGTATGCCCCATTTGGTATCAATCTCTGTGATTTAACAATTTTCACATGGCAATAACATTTCAAAAAAAAATAGCTTTAATGCATTATGATGTCATTGAAGTCAATTTTGCATCAAGATTTTGTCATGATGATACAAGTATAATGAACTAATTTATAAAATAAATTCAAATGGATTTTTTCCTTAAAAATTTTTGAAAATGTCAGGATCAATTTTCTATAGAAGATGTCGCTTCATTTTTTACCTCAAAGAAGAATTAACACAAAAAAATATTGGAAATCATTTGATTTTTGAATGTGGCACTAAATTTAATAACAGATTGTCATCACGAATTACTCGTAATTTTGTCTCGAAAAAAAAGGGAAATGAGGGAATCCCTAAAAGCCAAGCTAAACCTGTAACTGCTAAAACTCACGAGGAACTTTCTGAACGTTCATATAAAGCTGCAGCACATAATCCAAACAATACGCCTGAGGGACGGTAAGTAACAAATAATAATTTATTAAATTAATTAAATTGATTTTATTATTGTTGGATATTTTTGGTGCAAATTTCATCATAATCATATTTATTTAATGAATCATTATAATCATTATATTTATTTATTTCTAATTTCTAATTTTTAGTCTAGAGGCAGCCAAAAAATTTTCGAAAAAATATAAAGAACGTACTGGAGAAACAATCGATCCAGAATATGAGGCTTCTATTGGTGACAGAAAGGCAGAACAAAGTTAATCTTAAAAACAAATCAAAATAAATAATGATTTTAATTAAAGTTTGTTATATTATTCGTTGTTGTTGTTGTCAGTTTTAGTTTTTTTTAAAAATTTATTTTTAACTCGCGTTATATGGTATATATTATAATACGCATATATACAATTTAAGTTGTGAGACATTTGTTCTACTGACCTTTATTTTTACCTTAAAGAATGATGTTTGTCGTCAAAGTTGTTTTCAAGTATTAATTAAATTTTTGTGGTTTTATTTACGCGTCAACTACGCGATTTGATCTTTTTTTTCAAAAGTAGTGATTAATCTAACCTTTTTTGCAGAACAGTTAATTGTCTTTTATAAAAAATGTCGAAAATGTAGATATTCATTTTTTCAATGATAATTTTTATTTGCACAAATATTTTGCTTTTTAAAATAAATTTACTTTTTCGCAATCATAATAGTTTGTTCAAATAATAATAGTACTATTATTATTTATTGATCAAACAATCAAACAATTAATTAATTAATTAATTAAGTTAGAAATTAACGTTTACTAAATAATAAAAATATTCAGAATTAAATAAATTTCTAAATTTAGAAATGTTGAAGTTAGTTGATTGTCGACCAAATTAATATTACAAAAAGATCGGCATTAAAGAATGATATCACAACACTAATTTTTAAATTAAAGGTTTCCTAATTCAGTGTCATAATTGTTAATGTGAAATAATGATAAAAAATCCAGATTTAGTATACAAATAAATCAATACAAAAATTTATATTGTTATACTTTATATTATTCTCGTAATAATTATAAAAAGCTCATGATTCTTCTTTCATCTTTGCTCGACTTCTGAATTTCAAATAATTTCTAAATAACAAACGGGAAGAAAGAAGATTAAACACTTTCTTTTTTATTAACGTGGAATTATTATTTATATACAAAAAAATTCTAATTCTAATTTTTTTTTTTGGATATTAAAGTTCATCGCAGGACGACTTCAAATAATTACTATCCCTTTAAAAAAACAATCTTTTTTCGACCTGAATCTTATTCATTACACTAAATTACTATACTAACTGTCATATCCACATACTCGTCTCAACAATTATTCAAATATAATACATCAAACCCTAAACATTTACATTACCTTCGTTATATATTAAAATTAAAAAATTCTATAATTCAAATTTTTTTTTTTGCAAAATTACTCTTGAAATTTTGAATTGGGAAAAATGAAATTATCCAAGATTTTGATTATTGGTATTGTCTTATCAGCATGTTCCATTTTGTCGGTGAGCGGAGAAATTCAAGACGATATTGAAAATAAAGTTAAACGTGAAGAGTATAGACCAGTTAAATCTGGACGTGGGCATCGTCGTAATGACGGAAAGCAAGGTGGAGGCTCTCATGAGAAACGTCAAGAGTACAGACCAGTTAAATCTGGACGTGGGCGTCATCGTAATGACGGAAAGCAAGGTGGAGGCTCTCATGAGAAACGTGAAGAGTACAGACCAGTTAAATCTGAACGTGGAACTGTTCGTAGTGACGAAAAACAAGGGGGAGGCTCTCGTGAGAAGTGAATATCTCCACAAAAAAAGAATAACTCGTAAAATAAAAATTAGAATTTAAACGATCATATAAATAGAAATGTTTGATTAATTAAAATAATAGTTAATTTTTTATTGTATCCAAAATAAATATTGTTAGCATGATAATCCTCTATTAATTTAATATTTTACGCGTTGTTTTTTTTTTCTTGTTTTCAAATGTAATAATGATTTTTAATTTCAATTGAAAAAGCACAGTTTTTTTATATAAAGAATTGATGTCTTTATTTAAATTTATTTAATAATAATAAAAATAATAATGAATAAATATAATATACAAATCTTCAATAAATAAATTATTGAAAAATTTCTAAAATTAATATAACCCAATTTAAAGATCGCTATCACTATACCACAAAAAATATGAAAATTTAACATTCTTTTCCACCAGTCTTAACAATATATTCATCAATAATAAAGCTAGCCGCCTGTTTAGCACGTTTGATAATATCATCCTTATTATCACGAGTAGGATTAGAAGAAAGTAATCTTTCAACTTCTTCAGTTGCATATTGAGCAATAATTTCGTTGGCCTTTTCTTTACTAAATGCTTCTTTGGTTCGTGTAAAATGTTTTGTACATTTACATTTTGCATAACAAGCTGCACCGACAACAATCAATTCTGAATTAATGTACCCATCTTGTTTATAAGAAACAGTTTTAGTTGAGGTCACTCCACTAAAAATATTCTCAGCGGTAGTATGTTCGACGACAATGGTTTTAGTATCAGTGGTAACTTTTTTGGTTGTTTTTTCTTCAACAATTTTAGAACAAGTTTTCAAAAGTTCTTCTTCAAGTTCAACGTCTTTGATCTGTTCACTTAAATATTTTCTGGCCTTTTCATATTGAACTTTCCATGTTGTTTCATGAGAGGAAGCATGTATTTTAAGATAACTAATGGTAATTGCAGTTGTCCACCAAGTATAATGTGTAGTAGTTTTCTTGAGACGTTCGCTGACAGCGTATGTTTGAATGGTAGATGTGAATGATTGGGATTTTGTATCAGAAGAAATGTCAAGAATTTCAGAAAGTGTGTCGGAAATGTGGAATGAGCCTTCACTGGTTTGTTTGGAGATGATGGTTTGTGTGGTTTCGACTTTTTTAGTGTCATGTTTACCAAAGAATCCACTAAATGTTGATCCAATGGTTGATGTTGCTGACCCAATGGTTGATGTTACTCCACTAACAATACCCTCATGTTCTTCTTCATGTTTCTTTTCTCCTTTTTTATCATATGATTGTGTTACAGTGGAGCTACTTGTAGTGGTAACTTTTTTGGTCGTTTTTTCTTCAACAATTTTAGAACAAGTTTTTAAAAGTTCCTCTTCGAGTTCAACGTCTTTGATCTGTTCGCTTAGATATTTTCTGGCCTTTTCATATTGAACTTTCCATGTTGTTTCATGAGAGGAAGCATGCAATTTAAGATAATTAATAGTAATTGCAGTTGTCCACCAGGTGGTATGTGTAGTGGTTTTCTTGAGACGTTCGCTGACAGCATATGTTTGAATGGTAGAGGTGAATGATTGAGATTTTGTATCTGCGGAAATGTCAAGAATTTCAGAAAGTGTGTCAGAGATTTGGAATGAGCCTTCATTGGTTTGTTTGGAAATTACAGTTTTTGTGGTTTCGACTGATTTAGTATCATGTTTTCCAAAGAATCCACTAAATGTTGATCCAATGGTTGATGTTGCTGATCCAATGGTTGATGTTACTCCACCAATAATACTTTCATGTTCTTCTTCATGTTTCTTCTCTCCTTTTTTATCATGTGATTGTGTTACGGTGGAACTACTTGTAGTGGTAACTTTTTTGGTCGTTTTTTCTTCAACAATTTTAGAACAAGTTTTCAAAAGTTCCTCTTCAAGCTCAGCATCTTTGATCTGTTCACTTAAATATTTTCTGGCCTTTTCATACTGAACTTTCCAAGTCGTTTCATGAGAGGAAGCATGCAATTTAAGATAACTAATAGTAATTGCAGTTGTCCACCAGGTGGTATGTTTAGTGGTTTTCTTGAGGCTTTTACTAACAGCATATGTTTCAATGGTAGATTCGAATGATTGAGATTTTGTATCTGAGGATATGTCAAGAATTTCAGAAAGTGTGTCGGAAATACAAAATGAGCCTTCATTGGTTTGTTTAGAGATGATGGTCTTTGTAGTTTCAACTGATTTAGTATCATGTCTTCCAAAAATGCTGCTAATTGTTGATCCGATGGTTGATGTTGCTCCAGTAACTTTAGTAGTACCAGTGGTTACTTTTTTGGTTGTTTTTTCTTCAACAAGTTTAAAGCAAGTTTTCAAAAGTTCTTCTTCAAGTTCTGCGTCTTTGATTTGTTCACTTAAATATTTTCTGGCATTTTCATAATGAATTTTCCAGATTGTTTCATGAGTTGAAGCATGTAACCTTAGATAAGTGATGGTAATTGCAGTTGTCCACCAAGTATAATGTGTAGTAGTTTTCTTGAGACGCTCGCTGACAGCATAAGTTTGAATGGTAGATGTGAATGATTGAGATTTTGTATCTGAGGAAATGTCAAGAATTCCAGAAAGTGTATCTGAAATGTGGAAAGAGCCGTCTTTATTTTGTTTAGAGGTGATGGTTTTTGTGGTTTCGACTGTGATAGTTTCATGTTTTACAAAAATGCTGCTGCTGACTTCTTGTATTGTAGATTCTTCTACTTCAAATCTTTTCTTGACAAATATTCTGGCAGCCTCAAGAACCTCCTCTTCAGTTTCTTTATCTTTCACAGTACTACTTAGCCATTTCAAAGATTTATTGTAATATTCAATCCATTCATATCTGAAATCTATCAAGACATAACGAAGATACCAAATCATAATGGCAGTGCTCCAAATATTAACATCAAGTCTGGAAGATCGAGAAAATGAGGAGAAATGTTTTAACAATTGAGTTTTTGCTTCTTCACTTGAAGAAAATCCAAGTGATTGAGATAATTGATTACTAAGTTCATAACAACCACTACTTGTTTGATAACCGAGGAAGCGACGTACAATAATGATAGTAACAGTTTTTCGGGTATATATTTTAGTTTTTGGCGAAGCTAAATATATATACGTGTGATGTGTAAATGAGTTTTTAAATTTTTTTAAGAATTAATGAATAAATAAATAAATGTAAAAAAACGTAATTAATACATACAAGTAATTTTTTGATGTTCTTCAATCTCATGTTGTGAGCTTCTACTAATAGATGATTTTATAGTGGTTTTTTTGGTAGCAAATTCAGTCTCGAATTTACTATCTGATACCAAGGTCTCACTTTGTATGTCGTATACTTCCTTCACAAATGATTTAATTGTTGAAAAGGTTTCACTTTCAACTTCTTCGCTTAAAAATATGCTCCATAACCAAACATAAGCTTTTTCATGTTGAGAAATCCATGTTTTTTTGTGTTCGATACAAATAAGACGTAAGTAATAAATTACAAGGATAGTAATCCAAACATTGATTTCTAATTTAGATATTGTTGAACTATTAGAAGAATGTGACTTTATGTGTTGTGTAAGAATTAAAGTAAGCTTCTCGATAGATTCAAAACCAAGTAATTTTGCAACATTATCATCAATTTTAAATGAACCATCGCTGTTTTGATATTTTATTATGTTTTGTACACGAGTAACCGTGATTTCTGTTTGAGTAAATGTGATTTTTTTATGTCTGAAGCCTTTATTGTTGTTGTTGTTGTTGTTATTGTTGTTGTTATTATTATTATTATTATTATTAAATTAATTATACATCAATTAAAAGATTGAAAATGAACGATTAAAAAAATCACCAGAATAAAATAATAATAAAATTTTAATTTACCTATTTCCTCTGATACTTTAATGTCAAAACGATCACGGATAGCACATTTACCAGTTGAAACTATAAGTTCTTCCAATTCATAACTACCGCCTGCTTCTTTAATGATGTATTGTTCAGCACGTAAATAAGTACTGTTCCATTCTTTACGGAGATCTTTGAATAAATATATTAAGAACCACATGACCATGCTAGTTATACAAACAGACTCTTTAACTTTCGATAATCTTTCATTTTTGATATGTTTACGGAATAAAGTCATAAGTTCTTCTGATTTTTCATAACCAAATAAGTTTGCCAAAAGGGGTGAGCTAGAAAAGCTACCGTCCGATGATTGTAATGTGATAACATTAAAAAGTGTGGAAGAATCAAAAGGTTTTTCTTTAAGATTTGCAAGAAAATCTGGAGATAATTTTCGAGGAGCGGCTAATGAAAAGAATTTAGCTTTATAATGAATTTGGCCTTGAGTTGAGAGTCTAACCCATCTATAAATTTTATTTATGTAAATAATAAATTTATTATTAATTTTTAAATTGTTAATTGTTTTAACTGTAAATAAAATAAAGTAAATGATAACTTACACATCTATTCCATTTGGATTAGGTTCATAGGTATTTTCACCAACTTCTTTAACAAGTTCTCTTGTAATTTCAAAATTAACTTGACCAAGCGCTACATGTTTAGTTATAGTATTGTGATCCATTACTTCAAGGATGAATTTTTCTCCGATATGATTTACAGGTAAATAATGAACTTCATTCCAAACAGGATTCAACTCGTTATCAATAACGCGAGTTGCTAACAAAGGCTCTTTGGTATTACTTTGATGGAAAACTCTAACATATGGATCAGATTTGCCTAATAATACACATGTGTAAATATATAATATATTAATAAACTGGTTAGAAAAATCATTTGCTAAAGATAATAAATTATTATTAAAGTAAATAAATAAATTGATTGATTTACCAGAAAAGAAACCGTCAACACTTTTCAAGCCTTTAGCACTTAACAATTCCAATCTAACAACACCAATTTTTTTGCCTATAAATATAAATATATATGTATGTATATATATAAAACGATTAAATTGTTGTAAAACAATGAGATCAACGTCAATTATAAATTATAAAATGAATAAAATATACCTTGAACTCTTATTTTTTGGGTAGGAATCACAACCCATTTGGATAAAGCAGGTTTGAAAGATTTTGATTTACTATCGCTCAAAATAATTGGTGCATTATCTTTCGCAGATGAGCTTTTTATTTCCAATACTAATTTAGGATTATTTTGCAAAGCAATGTGACCTTCGTTGGTAAAGACCCATCTTTGATTGATAGCTTGATTTGGACTTTTTCTGGAATGAAGTAACAGGCGGTTACCAGATTTACCTATTTATTTAAATTATATCATAGCAGATTTTGTAGTGAGTAGGTAGGTCGGCATTTTATGAAGATCAAAAAATTCGATTCAAGATTAATTTTATGATCATCAGTGAATGTTAAAAAAAAATCATATTAAAACTCGAGAATAAAAAAATAGCCTCAATTGACCAGTTATTTATTCAGTCGAGTTGGTCAAATTTTTTTTACGCGGTACTAAAATCTCGCATTCACAATATATCACGATCTATTTATCTAAATCATTAATTACCATTTTCAACTTCTAAACATAAAGAGCTTTGTTTGTGAATAATCCAACCATCGTCGTATTTCCATAATTGATAAGTGTCGTGTTCTTTGTCGCTTTTTTGAGTAGCGAGGATTGCTTTTGTTCCTTCTTTAGCAGTACTCCAGCCTCCAAAGAAACCACCGTGTTCTACGTCAACGACTAAATTTTGAGCGGCAGGGGCAAGCAAAGTTGCATTACCGGAGGGAGATGCGCTAGATTTAATGTAAAATTCCCCGATAGAAGCTAATGGAAGAGCCGACATTTATATTGTTATTATTTACAGTAGAGACAAATAGATTTTATATGATATATAATAATTTATTTATTATATAGTATGAATTTTCAATTAATAAATAAATAGTATGTATAAATAAACAAAAAGTTCCGAAAATAAAACGCTTTTCGGTTTGCAAGAGAAAAAATATTGAAATTAGTATCAAGCGTATTTATATCAAAACATAAAAAAATAGATTGATTATGATTGAAAATAATCCGATTTTATCACATATAACAATTTTATTTATTAATTAATTATATACGTGTATGCACATAATAATAATAATAATAATAAACAATAATAAAACCAGTTTAATTTTGTTTTATCAAAAAAAATTAACCATCAATCGATCATGATAAAAATTTATAAAGATTTTTTTTTTTTTTAAAATATGTAGGCTGAAAATGTTGGCTAATATTTTCGAGTTGTACAAATTCATATATTTTTATGGAGGAAAAAGGATTTGGGGTTTTGTTAATGTTATGATAATAATGATAATAATGATAATAATGATAATAATGATAATAATGATAATAATAAATAATTGGATAATAGTTTAAACAGTGCATATATAGTTGAAAGTAAACTAAGAAGAAGGAAGAGGAGGAGGAGAAGGAGGAAGAGGAAGAAAACTGTTAAAAATTGGGAAATGCTACCCCACTAAATAATTTAAAACGCGTGTTCAAAAAAAAATTCCCTTCTTTAGATGAAAAAAGTAAATTGGCAAATTTGTTTGAATTTGATTAATTTGCCAATAAGCCATAATAAACAAATCAAGAATTCATCACCATAAGAGGAAAAAGCAAGGGAAAACGAATAACACACGTGTGATGATAAAATCAAGGTTTTCTTTTTTTGAGTTGATTCTAATTCTTCTTTAATTAGTGTTGAGAAGGTTGTCGATGAGTTGGATGGTGTAATTGCATTGAAATTGATGGTCAATAATTAATTAATGATGAAAAAGGTAAGATTATGTGATGATACTATAAAATGTAACAAATGTAACAATAACGTTAAGATAATGTAAGGGAGAGAGAAATTAATTAATGAATGAACAAACAATAAAGAAAATAAAAGTTGTTTAAACTAGATTTATATGATGATATTTTTTAACCAGTCTCTCACAAGTATTATAAATCTTTATTTAATTTCAACCGAGATATTCGTCATCATCATATTTCAACACTAATAATGGCGAAATTGAAATTGTGGTGAAACGTATGTACGCTTTGAACCTCAAAGAAATCTTTTTTGTTTCTTTGTTACTTAATATACAAACAAATAAATAAAATATATAACAAGATGTTAAACAAGAATATAATTTTATCACATAAAAACATGTTATGAAGATCTTTCCGTCGATAGATTTTAAGAAACAATCATTCAAGGTTAAAAAGTTGGTGGTGAAATGGTTTAGGATTTTTGTACAGCATATTTAAATATATATGATGACGTTTTTGAAAAAGTTTAATTTTAATTTGAAAATTCACGGCGGAATTTATTAATTAAAATGTTTTGTGTAGTAAAAATAGAATTGTTTTCCCGCCATCATAATAAATATTATTTTTTTAACTTTTTTAAGCTTTTTAATTATGTTATTCATTTTTGGAAATTTTTTTTTTTTTAATTAATACTTAAATCGAAATATTTACTGTTACAAAAAAATATTGAAAAAGTATTAATTAAATAAAATAAATTTTTTGAATTTTTTACATTGACAAATTCAAAAACTTTATTATTTATTATTTCATATATTATAATAATTATTATTATTATTGCTATGCCATTTTCGCTTTCATGACCTTTATATATATAATATTTTGATATATTTATTAACAGTAAAATAAAAATGTTGTTTTAATAATAAAAAAGATCGCTAGGAAACGTTATCTGTTAATGTACAAGTGAAAATCCCAAATTTATTATATCCAGCACTGATTACTATTGTGAATTTCCAAATATATTCCAATTCATATTTTTTTTTTTAATAATAAGAACAGTTTTTTGGAATTTACTTATTTGGGTTAACACGTTATTATATAATAATAATTGAGTAACTAATCAACGATTTTCTGAATTATCACGATTCTCTAATCAATTATCACATAAAATCATCTAACTCTACATGTCAAAGAAACAAAATGAAGGAGAGAGAGATTCAACAAACTTTATAACCAACAATCAAACATATTATGAACATCATTAATGTTGTATTTCTTTGTTTTTTTTGGATTTAACCTTATCTAGAATGAAGGCGACTTATTATTATTTATTAGCTGTTTGGGGGAAAATTCACAAATAATATCTAATATTTTTTTGACACGTAAATATTTAGTTATACTGTATATAAAAAAGAAACAGTTTCAGCAGTTACTATTTACCATAATTCCTTTTAATGCACACACACACATATTGCATGAAACTCGAAGATCTTTAAATTGATTGATTGATTGATTGACTGATTGAAAAGTTCAGCGAGCAGATACTTTGACGTTATGATTTTTTTAATATATATAGATATTGCAGATAATCTTACTTGTATGTACAAAGCATAAGACGTTTTTAAAATAAATTTCTTTTTTCAAAATTGCTTCTCTCTTTCTAATAAATAACATATAAGACCAAATTTAATATACACGTGATTATGCATACATAACCACGGAATTAACCAATTTGTTAAAGTTTACAATGGCACATTGTTGTGTTTTATTAATTCAAAATTGCTAAATTTGATTCAATGGTACTTTTCTTCCGTAATTCCATTTATTTGCATAACAAATTATAATATACTAATTAATAATTTACATATTTACAGTATTATTTACTATATATAAATTAATGTATCTAAAATTGTCTAATTGATTTTTGTTAAAAAAAATATATCTAAAACATCTAAACCCGTCTAATATTTCAAGTTTTTATTTTATTCAATTTTTGAACATATCGATCGATTTTCTAAAACTTTGTAGATGTGAAAAAAATTTTTGTTTTTGATTATCTTCTACCAAATTTTTTTTTTATTTATATACATTTTATAATTTATATATTTATATATTTTTTTATTATTTTATTTATATTGTTTATGTTTATACAAAAAAAATTACTACGCTCTCTCTATCTAATGCTGTTAGTGTTATTGACATTATCAGTTTTTCGTTTTTTCTTATTATTATTGATAATATTATGATTATGATTATGATTATTATGATTATGATTATTATTATTGTGGTTATAATTATGATGATTATGAATAAGATTAGGATTGGGAATAGAAATAGGATTGACATAATAAATATTGTTGTTGTTGTTATGACTAAGCTTTGGTCTTTCGTTAATTTGTTGTAATAAATTTGCTATAAATATTTGTGAACTTCTTTTTATTCCAAATGTTAATGAACAATTGTTATTACGTGAACGAAAATTATTTTCTAAATCTATTTTCGAAAAATTTTTTTTAATAATAAGTAATGAATTATACGACAATGTGCTAATGTTGATATAATATATACATGCCTCTTAATAGATTAACAACTTCTTTTTGTAAATTTTGAAATTTATTATATATCAAAACTGTTAAAGGTAATATTTGCATTGCTTCTTTACTTAATGTATCCTCCCTCAATTCTAAAACTATTCGTTTGATCGTTGGTAACATAGAATCTTTTGCTATTTCATATCTAATCGAGTTAATATGATAAATGCAAATTAAGTATAATGATGAAGATAAAGACAATGATAAGATGCATATACTCTATAATAATTACGTTTTGGTCATTGGCCAAACTTCACATAATTGTCCTGCTAAATTTAATCCAAATAATTGTTTTTGAGGATCTTCGTTTAATATCAATTCGTTAACCCAAAATATACATAAATCTATAAATAATGTTAATGTTAATATATATATTATATGGATAGTAATATATATGTATATGTATATGTATACATACGCATTGATTCAATCCTACTTGTGGTCAAAGGAAGTAAGTCAATAGAATATCCCGCAAAGTGTAAACTTTTTAACAATTCTGGATTTTCAATAAATATTTGATGTAAAAATCCAAATGTCAATACACGAATTTCCTCTAATGCGCCTTCTACAAATAAGAATAACAATAATAATAAATTTTAAATTTATTTTAAGTTTATATAAAAAACTCAACAATATTAACACAATTCTACGCGTACTGTTTTTATCATCTTCATTCTTATTTCTTATACATATCTCTAATAACATGTTTAAATACATGGTCTCTTGAATATTAATTAAATATTCCAATTTTTGTGTTGAATGTGCATCCTAAATTAAATTAATCAGTAAATATCATTGATTTATTGATTAATTAATTTAATGGTTGATTGATTGATTGATTGATTTGTTGATTGTTATTATTTACCTTTCCACGATTAAGTTCTTCCTCATTTAGTCGTTTCAATCGATTGCGTGACCCAACCGTATAAAACCGTAGTGTCTTTTCCCCCATAAATAAATAAAGATAAAATTTTTTAAATAATTAGTTTGTCCTGCATGAAAATTTTATATATAAATTTATTGATAATTACCCTTAAAAAAATTTTAAATATTAGAGGACACCTGAAAATTTTAATATTACAACGAAAAACAATCGATGGATCCAACATAATATCTCTCTCCATATATCTAATAAATGATCATCATGATCATCATCATTACTATTAAAATTGCTATTATTATTATTACCGTTTATTTATTATTATTGCAACTAACCTAATGTTTTGATCATCTTCACCACGTGTAGCATTAATAAATAATAAAGTAATTTCGTGAGGATTTATACTATAGAGTGATAGCCAAATTTGTTGAATTGATTCTAAAATACGAACATCTACACTTTTTTATTTTTTAAAAATAAAAAAATAATTGGATCTTTAATTAGTACATTATATAATGAATTTGTGTAATGTGACGATAAAGACATTAATAATATTTACTTTGATTCAAGTGCTTTAGGAAGAAAATATAATAAGAATGGTTCTGATATTGAATACAGATCCTCAGGTGGAATTGTTTCTAAACATTTTAAGGCTTTTGAAAATTTTGAAAAACAAATTAATTATCAATTATTATTATTATTATTATTATTATTATTATTAGTCACCTGATACAGTTTTTTCAACAGTGTTATGAAAATTTAAAACAGCAATTTCCAATAATTCATAAACTTCACTTTCATGACGACGACCTTTCACAATTCTTTTTTTGTATAAAAAAAATATGCTAATATAATCATATATTTATAAAATAAAATGTGACACACACACATATATAAATATATATGTACCTTAATATACGATCTTCATCCATTAAAAGACTTTCAATATCAAATATTTCTGGATAATAGTTAGTAATATATACTAATAAGTCTGGATAAATATTACGATATGCTACTCCATTATCACATCTTTCTGTCAAAAATAAAATTCTTCTTACAGGTATTGCCTCCGTTAATCGAGGTGTATATGCTACATACAAACATGTGATTGGAGTGTGTGTGAATATATTTTACATAAAACATACACACATACACACACATACATCTAATTAATAATATAATTTTTTTACCTGACTTTTGAGGATCAATAGTAATAGATTGTTGTCCGCATGATATTTTCATGTCTTTTACAACTTTATTATATGCTAATACAAAATAAAACAATAACACATGAGCTGCGGTGATTTCAATAAGATTATCTTGAAAAAATCCAAAAATTTTATTTTCGGGTATTTTCGTTATTGGTGACGGTTCTCCCAAATATCCCTCAAATATACTACACACATGCACGCACATATAGAAACCAAAAAAAAATTGAGAATGTTTAATAAAAAAAATACCAAAAACATTTTCCTTATTTTCCTTAATTCTTTTTACCTTTGTGCATAAGCTTTTATTAATGGACCCAATTGAAAATGGATAGGAGTAGTAGCCTGCATTATTTGGTTGTATATCCATGGCTGTATATCAACTTTACCTATCTGAAAAACGCTACCTTTAATCATTGTATAAAAGCATTTAAAAGAAATATATTGGGAATCCTTTGATAACTATATATAAAGTATGATTACTTAAATTTGTAAATATTATTTTTTTTCAATATTAAAAAAGATCAAAATCAAAATGTTACTGTTATATACCCCTAATCCATCAAAAGTATCCGGCTCAATTTCTAATGCAATTCTCGCCAATTTACTATCTATAAAATAGCCCCTCATTTCCTTTTGTAATTCTTCTAATCCTTTACCAGCTAATTATGTTAAAGATAAAAATAATTTTTATATGTAATAATTACAATTATAAATTAAAAATAATATATAAAAAGGATACAAATTACAACATCCAATGCTAATGTTGAACTACATATGAGTTTGATTTTTTCAAGTTGACTTGTTTTAAAATAATAGGCAAATATTAAAAATAATTGTTTATTATGTATATTCACTATTTTAGTAAATTCATTTGCAAGATAATTCTAAAATATGTAAAGAAAAGAATTAGCAAACAACATATTAATACAATATAACAATGTAACAATATAGGAAATTACCGCATCAAAAAATCCCAATATCATATCAGAACACAATAATATAAAACATAAACATATTTTCCTGAGTCTTTTAAAAGATATATAACAGAAATGAATGTAATTAATATTCATAATAATACCGATGACAAAAATCAATTGATCAATGAATAAATAAATAAATACAAACCTATCAGAATCAGCATAACTCAGCACATTAAGACAATCTATTAATTCATTATGATCAAAACTCACTTTGAATATACAAACAAGGCCACATAAACATCTCATTACAATACAAAATCTTGTTCGATGACTTGAATGTGGTGTGGTTTTATCATTCTAGCAATAACAATAATAATGGGTAAATTAATATATATATATATATTTGCTTACAAGTAATTTTCTCACAACAATCAATAATCTTTGTTTTATTGTCATTATCGTCTCATACTGAACTTCATTTGTAAGAAGCCATTTGGGGTTTCTACATAAAATACCATTCAAATATAATGGCTTAAAAGAAAGGAGAAATATTATTTATTAAATAAAACACCAATAATAATATATAATATATCTGCATAATATATAAGATGACTTCACATACACTAATTTTTGGATTTGGATTAAAGAAAATTAATCTAAATTTGAACAATAAATTTCTAAATTAGTTGATTTTCACTAATCCTATCCTAAAACTAGCTCATGTGAAGACACCATAACGCGTGCGCGCGCACACACATATATTAATTGACTTGATTAAAAAGTAAATAAAAATAAAAATAAACTTACAACATCACCTCCTTGGTCTAATGTCAATTTTAAGGCAAGATCTGGAAATATTTTTAGATCGGTTAACTTCATACGGACTACAATTGCAAGTTCATCAGTAAGTAAACACATATTATGTATCATATCCCTTTAAAAAAAAAAACAAATCAATTAATTAATAATATCAATAATAATATTTTTATTATTACCACTTTCTCTTCTAATTTAAGCAAAACAATTAAAAAAGCTTTTACCTAATACGATATTTTAATTTTTGCGGAAGGTATTTATGAAGTTTCAAAAGAATATCTGTAAACTGTAAATTCCAGATCAAACGTTAATAATATATATTTAGTAAATTGGTTTTTTGTTTAAAAAATCAAATACATGATGATGATGATGATGATGATGATATTCGAACCTCGTGAAACATTTGTGGACTATTTGCTACCAAAGGTATTATAAAATCTTTTCCTGTTTCTACAAGTATCAAAGCCCTGATTACATTCTGGAAATAATGATGATGAGGTTAGCATTTATTAAAAATTGATGGTCATAGTAAATATATATAATTTTCTATTTACCTCGTAATCGATATTTAATTCATTTGGCTTCCATATATATAATATTATCGGAAGAAAATATTTCAAGTTTTTCAAAAGATCAGTTCTTCGTAAATTGCGATAAAGATTATCCGAAAAAATTGAATCACATAAGCTTTGTATTCTTAAGGGATTTTGTTCGTAAACTGCATTGGCTTCTTTTATCAAATTATGTAGATCTTGTAACACCAATCTACCCATAAAAAAAATGATTAGAAAAATTTATAACGAAATAAATTTTACATAATAATAATCTTAACAATGACAAAAATAACTACTTTAAAGTTGATTCATGATTGTTTGGCATAAAATTACAAGGTTGACTTGGACGCCTAATAGTTAGCGCCTAATAATAATAATTATTATTGTTATAATGATTATTGTTATAATTATGATAATGATTATTAATTTAAAATGTTATATAATTGTACTTACATTTGTGACCTGTGAATTCGTTTGTGATGTCCTAACACTATTGATTATCTCGTCTCTAGGTAATGCTAATATATCTTTTACCAGGTCAAACTGTATATGTAAAATAATAATTGATTATTGATTTACATTTAAATTTATTAATAAATACAATTTTTTTTACCTGTAAATATCTTCTTAAAAAAGTTACTCGCTCAACAGGATAATGTTTTAATATATACGGTATAAAAATCTCGTAATTCTATATATATAATTTTTATAAATTTATATAAATAAAATATTTTTTATTTTTATTTTACAAACATGACGATCGCCAAAAAAAGGAATTTACCAAATCTACACTTTGTAATACATCTCCACCACTTTCCAAATATTTAAATGTTTCTTTTTCGCTCATTTTTTTATCTATTGGTAGTTATAAAAAATTATAATTATAACAGTTATAATTAACTATTCTTATTGCTTATTATCGAGTAATAAAATTGTTTAAAATCTTGAAATTTCTGCTGCTGTTATTTTTTATTTTATTGCGCACACTCACTTTCTGGTATGTGTTGTAAAAAAAAAAAAATAATCTAAATTTCCTCAACAGAATTAAAAAATCTATGATAATCAGACAGCTGGCTTATTTATAAAATTTTATGTAGTACAAATTATGCGTATTCGTTACGTGTTATAAAAAAGGGATTTTTGATTCAAATAAATTACGTAACAAACATCATGTGAGCAATTCATCCATGAATGAATCAAGAATATGATTGGTCCAAATAATTATGCAAAAATTAATTATAAATTTTTTTATTAATCAATCAAATAAGAGAATAATAATTGTGACAATAGTGATAATGAATAATAATAAAAACCATTGATTAAAAAAAAAAAATACAATTTTTTAATAAAATATAAAAGTATAAAACTTTTCTTATAATAAATGATAAACAGATTCCTTAACCTAATAATGGAGCATGTTCTGCCGATGAACCAAAGAAGTACTTTTTGACAAATGGTTTGACAATGTGGATTGAGGTACAAACAGCAAAGAAAAGAGATGTCCAATGGATGAAGGGATCATCTTGAGCAGCAAAGATACCGTATAAAGCCCCAGCGATGACAAGTGCACCAGCGACATCACCTTTGAATTTTTCAATGTAACCGCTGGCAATTATTTGAAGTGTGAGTAAAGCAAAGAATACCAAAACCTTTAAATAAACTTTTGGTTGTTTGTCGTCCTCATCGTCAGTTTTTTCTGGTGTAAAGGCAGCAAATAAACTAAGCATAAGGAGGAATGTAATCCAAGCATGATATAAGGAGAATGGTGCATGTATCCAAAGAGTATCATTAATTCCTTGAGCAGGGAATTTGTTATGGAGTCTGTAGTAGACATGTGAAATTTGGGTAGAAATAATAACAATAGTGATCAATGCAAGTATGAGATGATCGGTTTGCTATATTTGCATATGTGAAGAAGTAGGAATATTAATTAATCAATCAACCATGTTAATTATGAAATTTATTGATTTTATAATAGATTTCACATACCCATAAATAAACCCATAAAGCACTGAATAGAGAGATGCTAACAAAGTGAAAATGTATTCCATCCACGACGGTTTCCGAGGCAGAGTTGAAGAATTGATAAATAACTATAACAATAACAACAGCAATAATAATAATTATTATTAATTATTAATTAACAATTAGAAATTCTTTTTGTTTTTCTTTGACGATGAAAATTCTTTTGAAAAAAAGATATTTACCTAGACCCCCTAACAAGAAGATAATGACTGCCCAAATCAAAAAGACACATGGATGTGGTGTGATGTAAGTGTCATGACCCTATATAGATTAATTAATAAATTAATAAATCGAAATTTTCTTATTTAATATAAATAATAAGTATTTCATTAAAAAATAGTAGTACCTCAAGACCAGAGTATATTAATGTTAATAAGTTGGTAGTTAAAAGAAAAGCATAAACCAGCAAATTTGAAATTTTTATGAGAAGTGGGAGGAAAGGCATTTTGTTAATTATAATTTATATGATAAATAATAATAATTTGTCGTTAAAAAAACTATCTACAAAATATAATATAATATATTTATACAAAAAAAAATTTTTTTTGATAATTGAATTAAAGAGAAAAGAGAAAAGAAATGTGTGTGAGAGGGTTAGAGAAGGTGGGGTAATCATCTTTTATAATAAATAAATAGTACGCCTATAAATTTGATTGTGTGAGATAATCTAAATTGTGAGAAGATTAATAATTGTTTGATTTATTTATTGATTGATTAAGCATGGGTAACACAAATTTTTAATATTTTCTTACGAGTTTATTTTCCTGATTTTCTTTGTGGTAACGTTGTATAAATTCCTTAGCCCACACATCTTTAATTTTCCGAGCTATCCCGGCCGAGAAAGAACAATTATATATAATATAGAGAAAACATTTCACAAACAAAAACGTTATTGATTTTTTCTTTATTAGTTAGTATTAGTAAAAACTAATTAATTGTTTTTTAGAAATAATTTGTAATTTTTCTTGATGAGGGAAAGATTAGGTTTTGGTGATAATAGAAAGTGTAACACACTGCAAGAAAATTACCTTTATCTGACAAAATTAAATCTTTGAACAATCAATTCGTTATGCTTAAATTATTATTTCGTCATCTTTTATTTGTATTAAACGAATCATCTAAATATAGTGATTTACATTTGGGTGAATAAATTTGGTACGTAGGAAAAAAAATAAAAATTAATATTCATTAAAGAACCTAAAAGGGGTAATCAAAGAACAGTTGGCACATTGATAACCTTGATAACACATTATCGGATATAATAATAATAATTAATAGTCGATCACTAACCGTTCGTTATTTTTAATCCTGTAAGATTTGAGCTTACAGAACAATCAACACGAAAACATTGTATTATAAAAAGATTTATTAATGTAATTTCATGTTGCGAATGTAATTTTTGTCATTAAAAAAAAATTCGTATTATTATGGATTTGAAAACATTTTTTAATTTTTTCTGTAGCTATTTTATTTTCTGGCTATAAAATTTTTTTAATATTAATCAATTATCTACCAGATGCAATTAATGATAAAGTAATCAACTTGTTAATTTGTTAACAAAAATTTATTTCTGATAAAAAAAAATGCCAACATGTATATACTATTTAATCTTTCTTCAAAAGAACAAGAAATCATTATCTCCGATTTGCATGACGGAGGGAGGGCAAGAAAAAATAAATAAATTAATAATAACTGAGAAATAATTTGCTGCGCACTTACGCAAAAATTCGTGTTACACGCACGTTGTAGATCACGTTTCACGAAGAACCGATTAAAAATTCTCAGGCTAGGATTGTGTGAAACAAAAGATTTTCTATGTTAGAAGAAGTCGGCCAAGTTTCCTTCTGAAGAGCTGCAAACACATGATACAATTGAAGGATGATAATTCATTTTGCACAAAAACTTTAGAAGAGAGAAACATTTTAAATTTTCATATTATAATTACGTCCTGAAATTACTCGAATATTGGATAATAAAAGGTCATATCTTGAGCTCTGAGAATTATTCTTATGGAATTACTGACCGGCATTAATAAATAGAAAAAGTCGCCTGAAAGGTAGTAACATGTAACTTTTGGGTCTATATATTTGTTATAAAATCCGAAAACTGATTGATCCATAGACCAAGACCGTTTGTACATTCTCAATTATAACGATATTCCGATGCATAAGATTGTATGTATTATGCATAAATTAAATAACTTTTAATTTCAATTTCAAAGATATATGATTTCTAACATTAGATGATTCTCGTTATTTATCGCTAAATCGTTTTTATTGTCATTAAAAGGAATGATCGTGAATATATAGTTGACTAGAAAAAAGTAAATAATTGTCGGGTAGTTCTTTTCATTAAGTCAAAAAAAAAAAAATAATAATTATAGTTATACTTATTGATAGAAAAGATGCAGAATATGTATTCGATGAATATTATATGCGCTGATTTTTGTTTGAACCCCAAAATCCAGTACGGTATGATCATAACGTTATGAATACTTTATACTAGCAAAAACCCATTGGTTTTGAGGTGGGGCCATTGGTTTGACGGGTTGATGGATAGTAAATTAGTTTTTTTAGCGGAGCAAATAATTTTTTTTAGGGTAATTATCATTCTACCGACCAGTTTACACATTAAAAATACTCGTGTTTAACATCGAGACACAATAAGACATAAGTTTTGAAAAAAAGACCCAAAAAACCAAATCGGCTGATATGTAGCGTGTTCTTATCGAAGGTTGGAACATTTTATCGTCCAAAATCATCGAAACAAATATTTTCTCCTGTTACAAATACTGTTATTCTACCACTCTGATGTCGAAATGAAAGTTAGGGAAGAGGGTGATGATGTAAAAATTTTTAAGGCTGATTAAAGCAAGGTCTCTTTGTACTTTAACGTTGTATTGTCCGATAATTGGAACGAAAGATCTGAAGATTGTAGGATAAAACGTAAAGTCATTTCGCAGTGATTTCAAAGAGTTGAAAATCACATTGAAAAATATCATTCATTCTATTAATTAGGTTTGATGAAATTTCTTTATTAACCGGCTTTTACGATAAAATCAAACCTTTTTGACAATAAGTTATATGATGAAATTATTTGGTATCCAAAAAAAAAAATATAAACATGGGCCTATATAATATAGGAAAAGATACAATTTTAATTTGATTTTGCGTTGGATTTATTTACAAGAAAGGTTGACAATTTACGATCATATAACATGAACCTTATTGTTATTATTTTATAATGATAATAATACTTATGAAACTTAAGAAGAGGAATAAAAAGTTCGTATGTTAAAAGAATGATTTTCAGATTAGGATTAAAATATTCCCGTATGCTGTATATATATATATATACTTTTTATTATATTACATCCATGAAATCTCAAGAGAAATAAACATCACAATTTTTTTGTACATCAAAATTCCCATTATTACTGTCTTCAAGATTTGTTAATAATAGTTTAAACAATGCCATACGATACATCTAAAGATTATGATTAACAATCGACTTTGGCTACAACATTACTTATCAATTAATCCTATTGAATTCAAATTATCTGGATTGTTAAAATTCAATTGATGGTAATGAAATAAATCTAGATAATCGTTCGAATATAAACGTTGAAATTCAAGAGTGATTACCTAAAAATAATTGTTTGCCTAATGTAAAAAATAAAAGATAATCATTTCGTAATAAAACTAAATTACTATCTTGCTTCTTGTACAAAGACAAAGGATTCCTAATTTAAATATTGAGCTACACTTCCAAAAGATTCAAAATACGATTGAACAGGGT